GGTGTGGACAACGGCGAAATTATATCATATCTCCGCGCGGAGATATGTCGTTTTCATACGTCATATCTCCCGCCGCTCTAAGAACGAAAATCTCCGCGCGGAGATATGTCGCTCCAAAACGACATAATCTCGCCATGATCAACGTTGGAGTTATGTCGTTTTCAAACGTCATATCTCCCGCCGGTCTAAGAACAAAAATCTCCGCACGGAGATATGTCGCTCCAAAACGACATAATCTCGCCAAGAACGGCGGAGCTATGTCGTATTCAAACGTCATATCTCCGCGCGGATCAACGTTGGAGTTATGTCGTTTTCAAACGTCATATCTCCCGCCGCTTTAAAATCGAAAATCTTCGCGCGGAGATATGTCGTTTTTAAAACGACATAATCTCGCCATGATCAACGTTGGAGTTATGTCGTTTTCAAACGTCATATCTCCCGCCGCTCTAAAAACAAAAATCTCCGCGCGGAGATATGTCGCTTCAAAACGATATAATCTCGCGCAGATCAACGGCGACTCTTTCGAATTACTCACCTTAACTGCCCAAAAAATTCCTCACAAAAAAACATCAGAATTTATTTATTTTTCAATATTTTTATTTTTTTTCATAACATCGTATTTTCATTGCCTTATTATTATTTATATAGTTATATGAAAAAATATATGTTTTACAACATTTGAATATTTAGTTTTTATTTTATGTATCTACACTTAGAAGGTATTATCCGGCGTTGCCCAAGTAAGCTTTGTCTGGTCTTTTCCAGCTTTATTCCTTCAGTTCTCCCTTTTGTCAAGTTGTGACTTTATTTACCTGAAATAAATAATATTTAATATATTAGAAAAAATCAAAAAAATCATCAAAGCGGTGTAATTTACAAACTAATCGGTTTTTGGTCAATAAGTCTTTTGAACCTACCGATTTGTAATTTGCTTGAACTTTTTTTTAGCCCATTGATATTTAAAATGTCCGATTTTGGCAAAAAACGTGATGTAACCCCTTGCCATTTGGTCAATTTTGGTCAAAATTTAGATATCCATTTTTTTGATGCCAATCGTTAGTACTGATCCTTACGAGTATAAAATGGTATACAATTCCAAAATCTGGCATTTTTTGGCTGAGATATTACAAAAAATCATCATTGACTTTACAAACGAATCGGTTTTTGGTCAAAAACTTTTTTAAGCCCATTGATATTTAAAATGTTTGAATGATAATTTATAGTAGGGATCCGTACAAATTCAAAAAGGTGTAAAATTACAAAATCGGACATTTTTTGGCCGAGATATTCAACAAAAATCATCAAAAAAGTTTTGATTTTCGAGCCGACTCCGATTTTGGCAAAAAACGTGATGTAACCCCTTGCCATTTGGTCAAAATTTAGATATCCATTTTTTTGATGCCAATCGTTAGTACTGATCCTTACGAGTATAAAATGGTATACAATTCCAAAATTCCAAAAAATCATCATTGACTTTACAAACGAATCGGTTTTTGGTCAACAACTTTTTTTAGCCCATTGATATTTAAAATGTTTGAATGACAATTTATAGTAGGGATCCGTACAAATTCAAAAAGGTGTAAAATTACAAAATCTGACATTTTTTGGCCGAGAAATTCAACAAAAATCATCAAAAAAGTTTTGATTTTCGAGCCGACTCCGATTTTGGCAAAAAACGTGATGTAACCCCTTGCTATTTTGACGATTTCTGTCAAAATTTAGATTTTCACCTATTTAACCTAGACAACATAATTTTCGATCGATCGTTCCTATGGCGCTATATGATATAGTGGTCCGATCCAGCTAGTTTTGACATATGTGCTGCTTGCAACAGAAAGAGATACTTCTGCAAAGTTTCATAAAGATAGCTTTAAAACTAAAGAAATAGAAACAGACAGACGGTCTGACGGACAGAAGGACAGACGGACATGGCTATAACGACTCGGCTGTTGATGATGATCAAGAATATATATACTTTATGGGTTAGGAGATGTCTTCTTCTATGCGTTACACATTTCACAACAAAATTATAATACCCTCTGCAAGGGTATAAAAAGGCATACCTGCCAGCGAATGCAGTTAACTGGGCGCTACGGAGAGCTGAACTGACCTCGAGTGCGGGGCGCCGCGTTCGGGTCAAGCGTAACCGTTGCGCCAAAAGCCAACCAAGGATGCACCACTGCAAAACCAATTAAAAGCACGCAGCTGGAGCCGTGTAGCCGCACTTCAACGTCTAATTACAAATTGGAGTCATTGAATTTAATCGCTGCAAAATCCGCATATGCACTTCTTATGCACTTGAGACACGCAAACTGATAAGCCCATGGGCCCAAAGCACCGTCTTCATTCATCGGTCATAACTGGCTGACTCTGGCTAACTGGAGCAGGGCAATGCCAACGATTCCCCCAGTTGACCTACCTCAGCGTAGTATAGAGATACCTACAATAAAGACAAGCAACATAATATTTGCTATATATATATAAATATATATATATACATATATTATAGAGTCCAGAACACATTTTCTGTATTGACTAGTGAGAATCTCAACCTGGAGGAATTATCAATTAGGAAACTTTTGGAAGCACATTGTATGGTACTCTAAAGTGCATATAAGAGATTATTACTTATAAAAACAAAACCATTTACCAACAGAAAAGCTCCTACTTGGCCATTTCCATGCAGATTCCTAAATATTCGTTGAATTATAGAATATCTCTTCGAGCGGAAATATGCTTTGAGAAAATTTAAGGAAAACAGCAAGAGGCCAAAATTGGGGTCTGTTTTTTATACCAATATTTTCATGATTCTTTAGCATAAAAAAACCTATATTGTTATTTTACTAAATTTCTTCTGTTCGTAATGAGCGTCTCCATAAGATGTATCTACACCATAGCGTGGATACGTACAGTAAATATTCTAAGATTATGAAAGTTAAATCTTTATGTTATATAGAAACTTTGTTGTTGTTTTTATTTAAACATAATACTTTTGATAGAATTTTTGAAGTTCTTTACCAAGATTGTGCAAGTAGTATGTATTTTAAATTTATGTATACCTAGTTAAGTCGCACTTTAAGCTTATCACAATATTCTATGTGGAAATGGGTGTAGCATCATTTTCGCCAAGGGGCGTTTTTCCGTTGCCATTCTGCTGCTTAGCCAGCTTAGCTTCTGGCAGTTCTTTGACGCCAGTTGAACCAAAACCCGCCTCGCCACGCTCGGTATCATCCAACTTGTCCACCTCCTTTGGCTCCGGATAGAAGATAAGCTCGCAAATAAACTGAGCAATGCGATCTCCGCGCTTGACCTCAAAGTCGGTGTCCGAATGATTAAACAAGACAACACCCAGGTTACCGCGGTAGTCCTCGTCCACAACACCGGCACCCACATCGATGAAGTTCTTCACGGCCAGACCGGAACGGGGGGCCACTCTGCCATAGGAACCCTCTGGCACCTGAACCTGGAGATCAGTCTTAACAATAGCCCTGCCACGAGCCGGAACTATGAGGTCGTAGGCGCTGCGCAAGTCAAGGCCCGCAGCTTTTTCAGATCCGCGCTGTGGCTCCACCCCGTGCTCCGTGAGTTTGGCAAAACGCAAAACGCATTTCCTTTCGGTTGGTGTTTTTGCCGTTACAATTTGCTGCTTGTCTCCTGGTAATTCCTTGACTCCAGTTGAACCAAAACCCGCCTCGCCACGCTCGGTATCATCCAATTTGTCCACCTGTTCCAGCTCTGGATAGAAGATGCGCTCGCAAATAAACTGTGCAATGCGATCTCCGCGCTTGACCTCAAAGTCGGTGTCCGAATGATTAAACAAGACAACACCCAGGTTACCACGGTAGTCCTCGTCAACAACTCCGGCACCTACGTCGATAAAGTTCTTCACGGCCAAACCGGAACGGGGAGCCACTCTGCCATAGGAGCCCTCTGGCAGCTGCACCTGAAGATCAGTCTTGACAATAGCCTTGCCGCGTGCCGGCACCTTCAAGTCGTAGGCGCTGCGCAAGTCAAGACCGGCAGCTTTTTCGGATCCGCGCTGTGGCTCCAGCGCGTGCTCCGTGAGTTTGGAAAAACGCAAAACATATTTCTTATCGGTTGGTGTTTTTGCAGTTATAATCTGCTGCTTGTCTCCTGGTAATTCCTTGACTCCAGTTGAACCAAAACCTGCCTCGCCTCGCTCGGTATCATCCAATTTGTCGACCTGTTCCAGCTCCGGAATGGATATGCGCTCGCAAATGAATTGAGCAATGCGATCACCGCGCTTGACCTCAAAGTCGGTGTCCGAATGATTAAACAAGACAACACCCAGGTTACCTCGGTAATCCTCGTCAACAACGCCAGCGCCCACGTCGATGAAGTTCTTCACGGCCAGACCGGAACGAGGCGCCACTCTGCCATAGGAACCCTCTGGCACCTGAACCTGGAGATCAGTCTTGACAATAGCCTTGCCACGGGCCGGAACTATGAGGTCGTAGGCGCTGCGCAAGTCAAAGCCGGCGGCTCGTTCAGATCCACGCTGTGGCTCCAGCGCATGCTCAATGATTTTGGCATAACGCAAAACGCATTTCTTATCAAATTTCATTTTCTTAGCTGTTTGAATATTGTCAACAACAGGCGAGGCCATCTGCATGTGTATATGAGGATTAATCACTAAAATAAATGTGGAAAACACCCAAAATGGCTATCACGTAAGTCGAACGTTGGTAACGACGCTAAAATATTGGCGGAATTTTGCAGTCAAACCAGCTGGCAGCTGCTAAATATAAAATAATCGATATATCAAAATGCAGTGCTGTAAAGTGTTACAAAACCAGGGACGTGAAAATTCGTTGAGTTTAACATTTTGCGTTATTATGCAGTTTACGTTATGGAACAAACTCAATCAAATTCGAAACTTGTTGAAAAGTATTTTTGATTTTTGCTATAAATTTTTCATATAAAAAATATAAATAAAATATAATATTGATATTCAACGAGTTATTTCAATGTACTTTCAGAGTTGTGATAACAGGATATCGGTGGACCACCACAATATGCTGGCAGCTGTCAGAAAGAGCTTCTCCAAGGCCAAATGACCGGGCCAACGGGATACAAATATTGATTTGCAATAATTGCAATTTTTAGATTAGACCATTAGCAAGTAGCCTTAGTCATGGATTTCACCGACTTTGAGGTGCGCAAGGTAAGCAAGTGTTGTCTCAGTCTTGACTACTTGCTAACTAGCATAAAATATGCATTGTAGTGCCCATCAACAGTCATGTACATTCCGAACTTCATCACCTCAGATCAAGAGCAATCCATATTAAGTCACATTGAACGCACACCAAAGCCACGCTGGACGCAGTTGCTCAATCGCCGCCTGGTCAACTACGGCGGTGTGCCGCATCCCAACGGCATGATAGCCGAAGAAATACCCGAATGGCTGCAAAGTTATGTGGACAAGGTCAACAATCTGGGCATCTTTGAGTCGCAAAAGGCCAATCATGTGCTGGTCAATGAGTATCTGCCGGGTCAGGGCATTTTGCCGCACACAGACGGACCGCTCTTCTATCCAATTATATCGACCATTTCATGTGGTGCCCACACCGTGCTCGAGTTTACCAAGCGCGAAACCACCGGCGAGGCAACTGGCGAGGTGCTATTCAAGCTTCTCTTGGAGCCACGCAGCTTGCTCATATTGAAGGACACACTTTATAGCGACTATATGCATGCCATTAGCGAGATCAACGAGGATACGCTATGCGATCGCATCTGTAATTACAATCTATGCGAGAATACATACAAAATTGGGGATCATCTGGTGCGTCGTGCACCACGCATTTCGCTAACCATACGCAATGTGCCCAAGACCAGCAAAATGAAACTGAAGTTCTGTTAAACTCTTACAATTGTTGCTAAATTTGTTAACTAAATGCATACGTTGCGAATGTCACGTAGCCCACTGAAGTCAGCCCACGAGTTGCCAAGGCGCAAAACTGTAACTAACTTAAGCTAATATGTATGTTCAACTTAAAATCTTCCGCTAGATATTTAAGCACCACGCACACACACACACCTTTGAGCAATGTTTCATAATGCAAATTGCGTATTTTTTGAGCAAAGTTTCAGCATTGCCCACCAAGTGCTTTATTTTTGGTAACCAAAAAAGATGTTTACTCAATTATACCAATTATGTACATATATATATATAGATAAGTATATGTCTAATAATTTATAGATTTAGTTAATGAAAGCAATATGCATACATATTCAAGCATTTGTTAAGTGGCATATGTATGTGCGTGTTTTTCCATAAGTCCTGTAATATTTTTGTAATATTTTTCACTGCGCACCAAAAGACAAAAAAGAAAAGTAATTCCAAGCCAAATTTGAAATGAAATAAATTGTTGTCCACTGTTGTGCTTGTTAAATCACCAATTGTACCCACTCTAATCCGCAATCTCTTTCTCTAGGCTTCATCCTGCCACTCCAGTCGAAATTCGCGCTCGAACACCAGACGATCGTAGAGGCGCACCTCGCTGATGCGCGCCGAGATGTCCAGCCGGAGTTCACTCACAGCCAGATGAAAGTTCTGACGCACAGCGCGCTGTTTGTCCGGCGTCAGCTGGTTGAGCGGCTTTCGGAAGACGCTAATGATGCGCTGCAAATGATATTCAACGCTGGCGCAGCGTCCAATGCAGACCCACAGATTCTCCGGATCGTGGATGTTGCCGGGAAAGCGTGTGCGCTGATCAAATGGCGCCTTGCCCGATAGCAAGGCACGCACCTCTGCGACGATCTCCTGGTGCGTTTTCAGATCTCTCGTGCTGAGCGTCTTGAACTCGTATTTGTCACAGAAGTACATGAGATCGCTGATCGCACACCACGGCTGGCCACTTAACGTTGTGTGATTGTTGCTCCAATTGCTGTAGCCGGCGGCCGTTTTGCTTGCCTGTTGCTGCGCCAGGGCGGCGGCCACCGACGAGGCGGTACTGCTCTTGGCGGCGCTGCTACTGCTGCTCCCAGTTGCGGTGTTGTTGCTGCTGCTGCTGTTGCTGACTGTGCTGGGCCTGGTTAGGTCCAGGCTGGCACTGCCATTGCTGTTGCCTTTATCTGCCCGCTGTAACTTCTCCATTTCACGCTCGTGTTCGCGTGCCCGCATATACGCCTCCTTCTTCTGTTGCAGTTCCTGCAGCTTGGTCAGCTTGGGTGGAGAGTTGGCCTTAAAGAGCGAGGGTGGCGGGGAACGGGCTGGGCCTGTTGTATGCGCTGCATCGCGCTGTGGCTCCATCTGTTGGCTGTGTCCATTTGTGTCCAGCGATGCACTGCGTCCATATTTGGCGCGATAGCGTTCCAGCGTGTCCAGCGAGAAGCTGAGCTCCTTTTTGAGCGTTTTCTGCATAATTCACTTTATTATTTCGTTCGATTTATGTAATCGCCTTGAAACGTTCAATGCACGCGCCGCGCGTTCGTCTCAAGAATTTACAAGCAAATGCAATCGAGATTCGAGATGCGAGCAAAATAAAACAAATTCTTGCGTGGCATACTCTTTATTTTTATCTTTTATCAATTGGCGGCACCGACGCCGCCGTGTTGAGTACTTGGGCCATGTGCCTCAGCGCTCGCCGTGCACTTTATTTTGGTCTCTGCCGATCATTCAATTGGCTGCACTAGGGTCTCAGGAGAGGAGTAGGGCAACGCACACAACTAAGGCACATACAAATTATATATATATATATATATATATAGTTATATATACACTGCCAAGAGGATCTCAGTTTAATAAACAGACATGGATGCACAAAATTTGTAATGAAAACTATAAAGCACGACACACGCCACGAGTTGGGGATCGGTCGAGCAGATTCCTATTGGCGCTCATTAGTGCGACGCAAGCGAATACGCAGCCGCTTCAGCAGACGCTTGTAGTGCTTATTAACCCGTCCCAGATGACGGCAATTCTTGCATGTTGGACGACGATTCCTGCGCCGCAGCGTGGATAATGCAGCCTCGGCACGAGCGTGCATATATCTATGCCTGTGTCCATGTCCATGTCTAGGGCCACGCTGATGATAGCGCAGCATGGCCGATCGTTCCCTTCCATTCGGACTACTATTTCCAATTAGGGCACGCCCTGATGCAGATTGTGGCAGGGCCGAAACCATTTGCTCCCAGTCTTCTAGAGCATTGGCTTGTCGTGGCTCATTGGGATTTATATTCATGTTTCTCGAATCCGGAAATTGTCGGTGATATAACAATAACAAAAAAATAATTAAATAAAATCGTGTTACTAGGAGTTCTAGAAAAAATATGTACTTTGTTGTTGTGTTAACTGTTTTGAGTGCTACTGATTTTTTAAGCTAATGTCGAAAGTCTCAGAATCCAAGCTTGACATTTCGTAGCCTACTTTAAGCAAAACTTAAGGGTCCATCTACTTATAATTAGCTTGTACATGATATAGGGCCTGTTTCGATTCTAAAAAGAAGCCATAGATGATTCAATCATCAAAAAAGCTTGACTTTACAATCGGATTGTTTTTTGGTCAACAAGTTTTTTTAATTTGGTATGGATTAGTACGAATTCTAAAATTTATAACATTTCTATTGATGCTGATAAGGAATATATATACTATATGGGGTCGGAGATGCTTCCTACTGCCTGTTGCATACATTTGCACAAATATATACATATAAAATTGCGAATTTCGAAAACAAGTTTTCACTAATTTTAATAGTTAACACAGTAAACGAATGAATATTACCATTTATACACTTTTATTTATAGTACTTTTATAAATAGTTTACAATAATAATAGAGTAGAAATATTTGCAAATGGCACACTTTTAAAATTGAATTTGTTTTAAGTACAAAAATTACTTTGCGTTTTTGCGATTTGTGTGCATTTTCATTAAATACAAACATAAATCAGTTAATAATTGCTTAAAAGCTAAAGTTGACAAATGCACAAAGTACATTTAATACTTTTTATTGAAGCCGACTCAACCAGCTTTGCCATCTCTCTCTATTCCAGAGGTGTTATTTGAAGGCTCTCGCTTTTGGATGAAGTATATATATTGCCTTAATTGCTTATAAATACTCAAATATAATTATAAATTAATAGAAAAATATACAAATCGTTGATGTTATTGTTTATTTTTTGTGACTATAACATAAAATATTTTGGCTTATTTAAGGAGACCTCACGCAAGTTTTCAGTTATCAAACATACAACTCACATGGGAAACAAACTTCTCAATACGAATCTGACTATAACTACAAAGGAGTTGGCAGAAGGCACAGCATACACAGGAGAAGGTTCAAGTACACGTTGCAGGTGAATTGAAGTAGAGTGGGACAAAGGTCCAAGGCTCACAAATGTACTAGCCTAGTAAATTTACATTGGGTTCTTTAGCTGTGTTTCACCCTAAACACAATACGATGCAGGCACCTCGAAGATGATGTTGCCAGCGGAATGACGGAAACTTGGATTCTCCACATTGGGCGCCGCTTCGACGACAATGGTGCGCGACTTATCGCCCAGCCGGCAGGCAATATTGTTGCCCACATTCACGCGCAGTTCGGTGCCGGTAGCGCTGCAAGCGGAATTTAATATGATATTTAGTTAGATGTGCCTTAAAGGATATATCAAGATACCTACTCGTGGTACTTCTTGCACACAATGCCCACAAGCTCACCAATGCGATCCTCTTTCAGCGGCGCCGTCGACTCGCTCTGTAGCGCCAAGACCAGATCGTTGTTCTTGGGCGAGTGGAAGACAATTAGCTGATCCCGACCAGGCGTTATGCTAATGGAGGTCAGCTGCAAGCGGAAAAACAGAAAAGAGGTTTCAAGCATACGAACTGTAAGTGAGATTTACTGCCACACATTACCTCTCGAATGGGCATACAGCGGTCCATGTCGCGGAACTTCTTCTTGATGCCATCCAGCTTGTAGATGTTCGTATCGGTAACAATGAAGGCGCGATCCGCCTGCTTGTTGTGCTTATTGAACTTCTTGGCGAAGCTTGAGAACAGCACCTGGCGGAAGCTTTCGCCGCCCCCGGCGCCGCTGTTCTTTAGTTTGGTCACAATGGCGCTGTAGGCATCGTAACCGCTGTTGTCTTGCGAATTGGCCAGATAGTCGCCCAGCCACTTGCGCTGCTGTCCCCAGTAAGGACGACGGCCGGCAATCGCTGTGGCCGCAATTATCTGCAGTCGCAGCTGGGGCCATTCGTTGCGCGGATATTTGCGCAGTATCATGTAGGCGCGCCAGAAGTCAAAGATGCGATGCAGCTTGGCCTCCGCCTGGCGGCCGGCCAGAGGCGGCTGGGGCCACTGAATGCTGCGCCCATAGTCGCGCTGATGCTTGGCATTTCGGAAGCGGTTGGCCAGCTCTTGCACGTAGCTGCGCAGCTTGTAGGTCTTGTATGCACGCATTATGGTAATGGCGGCCTTTATCTTCTTGTAGTTGCGCCGGGCGATCCAGCCGCGCACCTGCTTCTGCAGCAACGTCACAATGTGTGGTATCATCTCGTTGCGCTGCTGCTCAAGGGCAAAAAGGGTGCGGGGCGATCGTATGAATATCTTGGTGTGGCCATATTTCACATCCTGCGCAAAGCCCTTCTCCTCGATGAGCACACGGACGCCGTCGCGTTCGCTGCCAGCACGGAAATTGGGCCACGTATACTGCGAGATCATCTTGTAGCGCAACAGGAACTTGTCGTAGCGCTGGCGATGTACAAAGCCGGCGCGACGAACGCGCACGTTCTCCAGCAGACCGAGATAGCGCACCTGATGCTGGACGCGCTCCTCGTCGAATACCGTGGAGCTCTTAATGTCATTGGGCTTGATGCAGCGCACATAGAAGGGCTCCTTCTTTAGTAACGTGGCGACCAGATCGGCCATGGAGCGCTGGAACAGCGTGCCGGCGGTCAGTGGACGTTTCGTGGTCTTCTTAATGTCCTGTGCGCCCTCGGGCCACATTTCGCTAAGATTGGCATCCTTGGAGTTGTGCAGCAGACGCTTAAAGTCCTGATACAGCGTATCCCTGTTCTTCTCAATGAATCCATTGATATTGTAGATGACATCGCCAGCATAGTGCGTAATGCGGAAATCCTCGCGATGCTTTAGCTCCTTGTCGGTTGGCTTCAGCTGGCGACTGGTGTAGTGCGGATGCTTGTTCAGGTTCTTGTCCATGGCGCCCAGCAAGGTGTCATCGGTGACATTGCCCACGCTCAGACAGGCCTCGTCCATAATGGCTATGATGCCCTTGTGCGGTTGCTCAACGAGATCGCAAATGATCTGCAGGAAGAGATCAGGCATGAGTTGTACACGGCAAGAATTGAATAGAGTTGCTCACCTTATTGTTGAAGTACTCAATATTGGTCCATTCGATGCCCTCACGTTGGTACTCTTCCTGCTCCTGCTTCAGCACCAGCTCTGCAATGGATTTAACCCAGTTAAAGATTCTGTCCTGGGCAACTGCCTAGGTAACTCACCAATGAACAGCTGCTGCAGCTTCTCGTTGCAGTAGTTAATGCAGAACTGCTCAAAGCTGTTCGAATCGAAAATCTCAAAGCCATAAATGTCCAGCACGCCGATAACAGAATTGAATCTCGCCTGGGTCTTACTGCCGCGGAAGAGTATGGCGCGATTAATGCGCGATATGATCCAGGTGAAGAGGCGATCATAGATGGCCTTGGCCAGTGCATCCTTGCCGTACTCCGCTTGGACGGCATCGTGATCCTTCTTCATGACATTGCCACCAGCGGCAATGGTGCGTTTGGTCAACGCCGCCGACAGCTCCGTTTCGGTGACCTGCAGCAACTTGGCGGCTGACTGCAGATGCGACTTGTTGCTAATCACCATCTCATCCTCAATGGCTAACGCGAAAGGGAAGTTTAGTCGACGAACTTAGTTGATCTTAATCTGAAAACTTACTTTGGAACTCCACATTGCCCAGATGCAAGACGGATGCAATTGTACGCCAAATGGTTTGCACTTCGTCCGCCTGGAATCCCAGCGTCTTGAACGCATTGCAGGTGCCCTTATAATCCGACTTCTCGGTGAGTATGTCCATGCTGCCCTGGTTCAGATAATGATACTTGGCCGTCTCCTTATGCAGATCATATTGACGCAGCTCATTGTCATTGGCCCCACGCAGCAGCTGTTAAGGAAAACAGTAATTAGAATATGTTTAAATAATAAAAAATACATTTTTTGTTTAATAGTGAATAATTAATTACAAATTTATCAAGTCTAAAGTTTTGCGCTAGTTAATTTCCATTCTCCTTACTCATTTTATAATGTGATAATGCCAGCGCTCGTAAACGTTTCATTTAAAATGTCATGCAAGACTACTTGCAAGACAGGTCATCAAGAGTGTCCTGCATGACTCGCACAACATTTTTATAAATATCCCTTAATGATAATTTTGGCAATCTAAGCAAGATATCATCGAGTAAAAGGTCATGTCTTCGAAGATGTCATTATTCTATTTATTGTCATTCACATTCATAGGCACATTTGGCTTGTCCAGAATGTTCAACTATTTAGTACAGCAGACAATTAGCACAAATGTTGACCATAATTGAACTTCCGCTTTAAATGTCGCCAGTTGCCATTTGCGAGCCGCTGAAAATGAGCTACGGAATTTCACGTTTGAACAGGCAACC